AACTGGTTCAAATCAAAATTAGACTGGTTCAAAAACAAATTAAACTGGTTTGGAAAAAATTAAACTGGAGGATAAAATTGAACTACAACATCTACATCTACTTTATTACTTCGCAAAGCCTTACAGCATACAAGCGAAGGAAGGAAAAATTGCCTTGTATTCAATACAAAATAGATTTAACTACTCCAGGAAACTAGAACACCAAGGGAAGATAATGATTGATGTGAATCTGTCAACACAGGAGAATGAGACTGATTTGTGTCTGATGTTTTTCAGATGAAATAAGCAGCAGTGGACATCTTCATGAAAATGCATAAGTACCTGTCATCTATTGCTGACTTTGTGCATCGAGAGAGAGTAAAGGGAATGAGCAGTTCTTCTGTAAACCGGTGATTATAATAAATAAGTATATCAGTACCAAGTATTCAGGCTTGTTTTCCTTTTTGCGCTATGCACTGGTTTTTTGTGAGTTGTTGTTGTATCCATCTGCTGTAAGCCCTAAATTTACGTACAAAGCTTTAGCATGCAAATCTTTTATCATTATTTGTGTTTTGTGGGTGCATTTCAGTGCAGCCCATCCTTACCAATATGAACTGGAAGTGTTGAATCAGTTGATGCTACGGAAAGAGGAGGTTAGTCCAAATGTACCTGTAAAATGATTTAAAGTGTTAACAACATGGGTGTTCTAGAATGGACACATTATACAAGACAAGCATTTACATTGAGTGACTTACAATTTACATGTAGTAGTACACATAATTCAGGTAGTTTTCATCAAAATAACTCATAGTGGATTAAAAGACATGTAGATCATTCTGGTCTTTTGAAGGGAAAGTAATGGACCATAATTATTTAGGTTCTGTTTTGTTTTTGTTTGTTTGCCAGCTGTATGATGAACTTGAGAAAACTCCATTCTCTCTGATAGAAACAGCAGAACAGCTTGATGAGCTTTGCCAGCACCTTGCAACTGTGACAGAGTTGGCAGTGGATCAAGAGTTACATTATGTTGTTAGCTAGGAAATGAGTTATCAGCAATACGTGATTCAGTTAGGTGACTAAGGATGGTAATGGTTCCCAATGGTGGCAAAGTTGGCATTCTCTAGCCACCACACAATTGTCTTGCCAATGTGTGTTTTTTTGACAAGTTAACCTGGATCCAGGGTGGCTTGAGATCTGTTGGCATTTTTCAGTATTTCACTCAGCTTTCATGTTTTTGCTCTCTAGTCTCATTCTACAGATCTTTCAAAGGGGGTTTTTTGCTTGATGCAGATATCCACACAGCACCAAGATTTCCTCATTGACACACTGGAGCTGCACAGTGAGCTTGAAATCCTTAATGACTGTTTTACCAATCCCAAAATACTGAAGGTGACATTACCTTCTGGGTACATTTAAAATACTCTCTAATTTTTTATTTTATAATCGTATTTTTATATCTCATGAATGTTGCAGGGAAAGAACTCCAGTTGAGGGGGAATATATGTGGGGCCAGTTAGCCAGACAAATCAAAATGCCAAATAACTTGTGCACAATATGCTGTAGTAGAGTAGTTATTATGTACATGCACAATATGCTGTAGTAGAGTAGTTATTATGTACATGCACAATATGCTGTAGTAGAGTAGTTATTATGTACATGCACAATATGCTGTAGTAGAGTAGTTATTATGTACATGCACAATATGCTGTAGTAGAGTAGTTATTATGTACATGCACAATATGCTGTAGTAGAGTAGTTATTATGTACATGCACAATATGCTGTAGTAGAGTAGTTATTATGTACATGCACAATATGCTGTAGTAGAGTAGTTATTATGTACATGCACAATATGCTGTAGTAGAGTAGTTATTATCTAATCCAAAATGTTGTGGATTCATGAGGTGCAGCCAAAAGAGTCTGTAGTCCCAGAGATGAAATAAATACCTTACTAGCCTTATTTTTGTTGTCTGTATTTTGAGTTATGAAACTTTTTTTTTCCCCTTGGATTTAAACTCAGTATCATTTCTTAAGTTTTTGCACAGATTAATACTCCTACTTTTCCAACATTCCTAAACCTTAAAAATCTCCTGCAGGTATTTGCTTGGAACAGGTTCAACTGCAATTACATACAATAAGATTTTGTGTGTTGCATGCCATATCAGGAAGTCAAATTTGCCTATTGTACTTTTTTAGGAGAGGCGTGAAGTTGATAGAAAACAGGGATTACAATTTGCAAGAAGACATTCCATGTTATTTATTGAAGCAAGGTTAGAGTCACTTTAGTTATCCATATATATTCCGAACCAATCAAGGATCAAATGGGTTTCTTTTTACAGCCTCCTATGTAATGGTACAAGATGGTGCAGTGAAACAACTCTGAAGAGAATTTTGAAGGACTGGAAAAATGAATTAAAAAGAAGTAGTAAAATTCAGTTCATTTATGTTTTGATTTGTAAACTTTGATGAAGAAAAGGGTGCCAGCGTGTTAACAAATTTGCAGGAAAAGGCTCAAAGAGGAATCTTTAAATGAGGTTTAGCTGGCAATTACATGTACATCTGTTTTGTGCCTTTTGATGAAAAAAAATTGAGCATTGTGCCATCTTTTGTTTATTTCTAATGAACAAACCTTTGTTCTGTTTTGTTCTGTTTTGTTTTGTTTTGTTTTGTTTTTTTCAGTGCAAGGACAAAGGAGGGAGTACAGCTTGCTTTTGAGGAACTAGTGGAGAAGGTACAAATAATTTAACAATGAGATTCAATTTATTCTCCTTTGAAAAGTCATGGAAGCCATAGAGACCTTACAGTGTAGGTAGCCACTGTTGGGTCGTGGCTCAATTTTGTAGAGATTCATTAAAGTTTCTTCCAAGGTAATTTGTCTGGCAGAAAGAAATTCTACTATTCAAACAGGAATTTTATAGAATTTAAATATTAGGGATACATTGTATATCTTTATTATTTTTTATTGTTATTTTTGTTTTTGGAATGGAAACCAACAGTGGATTAGAAATGCAAGGGTTTTCTCTGCTGGACTAGTATCTCCTCCAGAGGTAGAAACGAAAACCCATGCTACAAAAAATTGCTCTCCAGCTGTAAGGTTGAAAGGTGCACAAAGTTTTCCAATGGTGGTGAGCAAAGTAATGCCCCATTTGCAGTCTCTGTACCAGGTACTTCTGCAAAATAAAAAGATGCATTGCTCAAAATCCCTGTATCCAGCCATCTCCTAAGGAAAGTTAAGATTTCAAATTTTTTACCATCTTTTTTCTGAACTTTTCTTTTTCTTTTTGTTTCTATTTCAAAGATTATCCAGACACCAGGTTTATGGGAAAAAGATGGTGCCACAGAAGGGGTAACCCTCACAACTGCAGGGTCACAGGTCATTTCAGGCTGCAGTGGAATGTGTTCACTTACATGACAACTAAAATCTGATTTTAAGTGGGTCTTGTAAATAGAGAATTTAGAATTAATATTGACATATATTTCACTTAGCTATTCTGGACATGAAATAGAACCCTAATTTATAGTTCTTTTTTACCCTAAATTTAACCACCATAAATGACCAGTTTGTACAGTTTTGTAGGAATCTGAACTAGCCCACTGAAAACAACTTTTGAGATCTTAAAATGATAGCTCAAAACATGTACACTGTCAGATATATTTATCTCTACTTCGAGCAAAGAGGCACTACCTTACTGAAATTTCCTTTTCTTTAAGCAGCTTACTAAGCAGAATTTATTTCTTCGATAGTTTAGCATTTGAACAACTTAGTATTATGTTGCCAACTGCAACTATGATTACTAGTAGTACTACTGTTACAACTTATGTAGCTTACAATGATGAAAATGAATGGTTATAGAAACTTGAAGTAGATGAGGTTTCATCAGAGAAAAATTCTATTTAGTCAGAATGAGATATTGAAAGTTTCTGAAATTTTAAGGGGTCCCTGTCCACCCCATCTCCCCTCCTCTTCCCCCTCCCCTTTGTTAGGTATGCTATTAATTTTTTTGGCTTGTTTTTTTGTTTGTTAACAAAATTGAGTCGAGCTTGTAAGTTATGAAGACTGCGATTTAGTACAGAGAGGAGGTAAGGTGCAGTGATGAGGGCTTTTGGCTTTTTCCAACTTTGATTCCCAGACCTTGCGTCGCTTGTAGCTGCGGTTCCCCTCCTTTTCGCTATACTATACAATCCTTTTCTTTCAGTTCAATAACAAAATTCTGAATTCCAATTCGACCCACAAACAGAAGGCGAGGAGCCACCTCGTGGCTAATTACCACTACTGGCCATTCGCTTTGATTTGATTCCAAGTAGATTTAAATTGGCTACGAGGAAAGAACTAAGATTTACAACGTCCTTTTTTTAGGCCTACTAATCAGAAGCTGCCCATAAGGTGACAGTAGAAATCCCATATTTCACATAGGGGACTTACAATTATCCTTGTTCGAAATGATTTGTGACAATTTTTAACTGTTTTTACGAAAACAGAATCATGTCTACTTGGTCAACAACTGTTTCTTCTAAATTCCAGTCACTATTTTTCTGAATTTTTACTTGCTTGTATATTTGATTGAAATTAGATTGAAGGAGACACCAGATTTTAATCCTGAATGGTTGTGCATGATAACATTAAAATAGACAAGAATTATACAAGCGACTCAAGAAAGTCGATTTAACCATTTCATGTTACTTTGAGGAAGAAATTTTCTCAACATTTTAGAAATCTTCTTTTGCATTAAACAGCATTTCAATTCACCTGTCAAATCGAGTGCTTGGTGGACTGGGGAGAGGGGCGTAATTATATTACAGCTACTCGCGCTATACTTAGTCGCTTGTAGTGCGCTTGTTGTAAAATAATAACGACGACAAACCATCTATTTATTGTCACCAGGAATTCATGCATTAGAAGTTATTGAAAGTTGCTCCCAAGTATTTTTTGTCTTGTTTTAATATGGATGCTACAAGTAGCAAATTTGAAATTAATTAGCACGGGTTGTTAAAACATCATATCTCAATCGTGATGTGACACCAAGATACTCGAAATAGTGAGATTGTTTAATGTGAGTTCTATGGGGCCGTCAAGCATTATAGAAAAAACATAAGAAATTAAGCCTAAGATTTATTTCACGTTGGGAAGAAAATTCTAAATTCTATTAAAACTACGTTAAGTTAGAGGACACTCGCAGCACAAAAGATTCAAGTCCACAAGAAAACTTGAAAAGTGTATTCTAATAATTCCTTCAAGTAAATCAAACAGACGAAAGTTTTTGTCTACCTGTTGTATAATAATGTAAGTTTTCTAAGGGAAAAATAATCGAGTATCCTAATACTGACTAGGCATATTTCATTACATATCAGATTAGTCTAATTGTTTACAACGGTTAACTCACGCTATGCAATGTTGGTTTTTAGACTTCATAGATATCTTAAGATATCGTGTTCCACAATTTTGTGCATGCTGTAGTGCTATAACAAGCTACAAATATTTTATATTTTCTTGTTCGCTTTACAACACAACTTACTGTGTTCCTATCGAGGACTCCATTGCTACAAAATAAACATGTGCGTCTCCTGAATATATATAGGATTACTAACTAATCGCCTGACATAATACGTGCTCAATTGGAGATACCAGGGTAACTTTATTACAACTGACCAATCCGATCGCAGAAAGCGACCATTGAATCAATCATGTTTGATTACTTTACTGAGCACTGATTGGCACATTTCAATTGAATTGGAGTCATTGTTCGTTCCCCATTATGTTATTGGCTCATTCTGGGAAAGATGTGTGCCATATAAATTATTTCTTGAAACTACATAGCAAAATTATATTATGCGAGACACCGACTAACACTACTAATTGTGTAGCTGGCAGCGCCCGTGGGCATTATGAAGCGAATCCTGTGTTCTGATTGGCTACCCGAGCGGGTAAAACCGGCAAGGAAACCATAACCATCAGAAATATTTCATTATCACTCATGACATTCATTTCTCTAAAAGACCATAAAACCCTGAGGCGTTGTCTTTGCAAGTTATACGTTCTTGTTTGCAATACAACGCAACTTACTGAATCATATTCCGCGAAGCCTGTGGATGATGCCATTACCGCGAACAGTAAAGTGCATCTCCTCTGTACATTCAGGATAACCTACTAACTAACCAACTAATCACCTGGTATATAATACGTACTATACTACTGTTACTGGTGTAACCTGCAGGAGATGACCTTTGAAGTACATATGAATTATCCGTCATCTTTGATTTTTTTTACCCTGGAAATAGATCAGCTCAGTAAAATAAATTTAAAATCGTTGTTCGTTTCCCATAACGTCATCAGTTAATTTTGAGCAAATGATACCAGTAACAGGCCAGGGCTTGTGATCATTTCGTCATAAATATATATATTAAGAGTCCTCCAGGCAAAAGACTTTTCATAAGCTTTGTGAATGTGCCTATGTTTTCTTTCTATAGACCATTTCATACACTAATTGTGACAAACATACTTTTTTGGATGCTTCCCGTAGCATTCAAGAAATGAACATGATTTAATATTTATCTCTTATTTCACTCTTCGACCTAACAGTGTATTGCTAACGGATCACAAGGATACGAGATATTTTTCTGAGTCAAATAAAAAGGAATGTACGATGAGCTCGATCGCTCTTCGGTCTGTGGAATCAACTTCACTAACTAAAATAAGAAAACAATGTACACCAGAAGTACTGCTATATTAAATAATAACTTTAGTGATTAATTCCTTGAAAAACCCCAAAACCCTTAACTTTGCTGTTTCAAGTTTAGTCATCTCACGTCTCTTTATTTTCTTGCTCAGTACCCAGCGATATTCTAAAAATGTTTTCACCCTTTATCTCACTTTCTTTATTTGACTTTAAAACTTACTCTTGTTAAATCTAGATTTAATCTCAGACTAAATTTAGTTTAAAGGGTACAAAGCATAAACGTCTGTGCATGTCTTGCCAGCATTATTGTACTCGGATAAATCAGCCAAATCTTGTCCATACCATATTTGGAACTGCTGATTGACAGACACAACCAATGGAGTGGGGAGAAGGTTAAACACAAGCCTGGGTGAGTTGACATCAGAACCGTTAAGTCGGTATCTATACATTCCGGTGTACTTCGCGAACTCAGCAAGTAGAACAACGCGTTTGTTACGGTAAGTTATTACTGTCATTAGGTTATAATGTCCAAAAGATGGGTGTGGACATCCCCACTTTGTTAGTTCTAAATCAGTTGCACATCTCACTAAGCCACTTGTATGGACAAGTTGAAACGTGTAGATCTGACCGGCTTCTCGGATTATAAATGTTCCACAGTCGTTATTTTTCGTTCCAAAACAGACAGGATCGTCGTTGACCTTCTTCCAGTTATCTGTCATGTTTATTAGGTTTTAAAGATTGCGTTAGTTTGAAAGGTCAAAGAAGTTTTCTTTAAATTCCATAACTTTTCGATAGTAATTAGGAAAAAGTGTTTATTTTGACTTGTATCAGAGCGAATGACTTGAATAATAATAATGATAGTAATAATAATAGTGTTTAATATCAACACCGCATATACAAAAATTACAAAGTTGTTACATTAAATTTTAAAGCTGTAAATAATTTCAAAAATAAGATGTATAAATATTTTATTCANGATCAAGTCTGATTGGGTTTTGAGATTTGGTTTAACGTCACTGATAAAAAACCTTTTATATCATTACAATAACTTCGCGTGGGTAATGGTTTTTCCTCTCGTACGTTTCCAAATTAATTGACACGAACATATCTGTTAAATTCGGTTCTCTAAGATCAGACTCCTATCAGACCCAAACGAACTCTGATAACAAAAACGACCTACATACAAAAATTTCAAAAACTTGCATCGAAATTATCCTAAAAAAGTAAATTACATTAAAAAAAAATATATGAAAAGGGAAATGACACTCTTACTCTAAAAAGCAATAAAAAAAGATTTTAAAAATGTCTGAGCCTATATTTGCCATTCCATTGTCAAGTAAATTTTGTTTCTGAATTTCCTCAAGATGGTAAACTTGTGTTTCCTCTTTAAGTGATTTTCAGTGTTTGAGCTCTATTGGTCAGACACGCGCTGAAATAGTTCGCAGCATACGAAGCCGACATTGCTTGCACAGCACAAGCCATATTTGAATAATAAACTATGTTTTATTAGTAGATAAATCAAATCTCTCAGCAGCTGTTGACGCATTGTCATAAGTCGTATCTAAACAAATGCTGGGAACTATACGTTACTAATAACAATAAAAGTAATTACGTCTTTAGCCAGGATAAATCCGTTAGCAATTGCTGGTATCAATGGGTACCTTGGCAAATTATGCAAAACTATAAATAAAACATAGATAAAAGTAAAATATTGATTATAATTAAAGATAATTATAAGAGTCTTAACATGTATATATGATAACTAAAAGTCATTTAAAAAATTCTTCTATTTTTTATTTAAATATTAATAATGATTTAATTGATTTCAATTCTGGCAACAAATCACTGAATGCTTTGGCCCCAGCATAAAAACAACCCTTTTTTGCCACTTCTGCTCTAACCTTAGAAATTATAATATCTATGCCATTTCTACGGGTTGCCTGTGAATGACTAGAGATCCTATAATAGTATAATAGAGATACCTAAATAAGTTGAGTATTCCGCTAGAAATCAAAACGTACCTGAGCAAAAGCTCCGTCCATCTCCGAGATGTCCAGACTGACAGCTACAGTTAAATGATCCAGCAGTGTTTGTACAAGTGGCCGCAACGTGACAGTTGTGGCTACCATCGCTACACTCATCGATATCTTAAAAGAATGCAAAAATTAAAAGCTAAAATCAAAATCTCTTTAAGTAAGCTACTCCTTGTGTGTGTTATATTCCAGATAAAAAAGGGAGATAGAATTTTCGCCTGAAGGGGAACAATTTTTTTCTCCAATTTGCATTCGTCAACATCTATGTTTGATTAAGCTCATCAATAGCACACATTTTTTTTCGTAAAAGTTTTTTTTTTACCATCCCTACTTTGTCGTGTTTGTTTGTTTGTTTTTGTTTTTGTTTTTATTTTTCAATGTTTATCCGATCGAAACGTATTTCACCCTTTGAAACTTCAGGCCCCTATCAAACGCAGGCTTAAGATCATCTGTTTGGGTCTAAGGGGAAAGAGGTTCTCTAGGGAAACATTGCCATTGTGGTAACCACCAGCTTTGATATAATTTGGGTATTACATCAGGACAACGAAATGGAGTTGGATTACCCATATCTTTAGGAAGGGTTTGAATAGATCATCTGATGGCATGTAGTTATCAATCCTCAGTGCAAGAGGAGGAAAGTCACACCCATGCTAATTCAGAAAGACAGAGAATATTGTGACGTGAATTAAAAAGGTACGGGTCCACAACAATGCAAAGCCAACACATGAAACCTGTACATGAGTCTCCATTTTCAGTGTAACCCTTCTTTGCACGTACATGTGTAAGAGCCATGACTTTTTTCGCAGTCTGCATTTACGTCACA